ATATTCTGTCTCATTTTAATAGACTTAAATTTCTTCCATATTTCTTAGATTTGAATCCCTTCTGCTACTCATTTCAGGATCAAAGTGACATGGCACTATATCATTATCTAATGCACAACCTTCAGAGAGACGCTTGTTCTTGACAAACTGCTGATGATCCTCTTGAATAAAAACAACCAACTCAGGTACATCATAGTCCATGACATTAATTCCTGCAGAAAAGTTCTTTCCCTTGCTAAACCTTGAAAAGTCCCCTGAAGCATTAGTAAAATGGCCTACATTGAACAATCGCTGTATTGGTATCTCCCTTGTCCTAAAGTTATTATTACCCTCCAGTCTTTCCCGTATAATTTTCTTATGCTCTTGACTTCTTTGATCTTCATAATGAAATAGTTGTGCATGCTTCATGCTGTGTCCTATTGAATTTTTCATCTTGTAAAATGTTATTTCCTTGCCACTGCATAAGAAAGACTGGTGGTGAGGTTTTCAGGATAGAATTTGATAGGAAAATAATGATTCACAATTCACACAGCAAGTTGAAATATGCAACTAAAACACTTAGAAATAGCCAAACATGTTGGCCAGTCCATCTACTGATGAGGAACATTTTTATAAACCAAAAACATACACTTGAATATAAGTTATTAGATTAACATAAAAATAATATAAATATTTGGGTGAAATGAAGCCTAGAATAATATTATTGTTGATGCCAAGCTACATGCAAAGAATTAACTATGAGGAGTAGAACACGACAAGATCTTGCATTTAACATGTTGTAAGGTAAATTTTTGTTTTTTTTGAAAAAGTTAAATATATATTATTGATAACGACTTAATAGTATAGACAAAATCTCGCATTTAAAATATATATATATTATTGATAACGACTTAATAATACAGACAAAATCTCACATTTAACATGTTGCATGTTCAAATCTCTACTTATCTCATATTTTTGAAAAGACTAAACATATATTGTTGATAACGACTTAGTGTGTGTTTGAAAAAACGTTTGATTTAATGTAACTTATATTTTTTTTTTTTTATAAATATAGTTACTTTGTCGTTTGTAACATTGAAAGGTGTGAAAGTTCATTTTAAAATATCTAAATGTGAGAGCAATCATGTTGATAATAATAGTACAAGATGATCTATTAGCTAAAAAACAAAGACAAGATCTCACATTTAACATGTTTCAAACTTGAACCTCCACTTCACTTATGTTGCATTTTCTAAAAGGCTAAACATATATCATTCATAATGGGTTCATAGTTCAAGATGTACTATTAGCTATAACACTTATAAAAGCATAGTCACACCTTTGAGATTCCGATAATACTAATGAAATATAAACTGCATGCGCAGGTTGTCCGTACACGTTCATGTACCAATCATCTAACCTGCACTAAATATCCCTTCACCAAATGTTTACAAACTAAACCAGGAAATATTTATTTCCTGACCAAAAAATCAACCTTTCAATACTGGATTCATATCATCCTTATGTAACTAGTCCACTTCACCAAATGTTTACAAACTAAACCAGGAAATATTTATTTCCTGACCAAAAAATCAACCTTTCAATACTGGATTCATATCATCCTTATGTAACTAGTCCATAAAACTTGAGATAAGGTAAATGTAAGTACCTCTATTACTCTAAAAACACTTTTTGAACCCAAAGGTTTTTTTCCTTAGCTTAGACTAGGGCACCATCCCACCATCCCCTCCTACTAAACTTTATTTATCAAAAAAATTTCAATAGATTAGGACACCATCCCCTCCCCTAAGTTACACACAGACCCTGCGTTAGTTTAGTATTCTTTTAAGAGGGCAGGTGGAAATTTCAGGAATTTATATGAAAATGTTTTTAAAAACCTATTTCTAATATTTTTTATCAATAATTGTCCAAGTCAAGGGACCAAAAGATTGACAATTACTTTCAGAACTTTTCAGGGCTACCTTTTTTCTTTCTGACTGCAAACTGGTAAATTGCTTTGATTTCCTATGTTATTCTCATTTGAAAGTGATGAAATGAATAAAAGAAGGAAAGGAAGATTTGAGCAAACAAAAATAAAAGTTGCAGATGAATGAGAATTCAATCTGTGCAAACTACGATATTTGAATACAGATAACTCAGGATGATGATTAAGAATGATAAAGAGAATCTTCTAAGAAAATGAGAACCAGTAACATAAAACCAGAAAAACACAGATAGCTTAAATTTACTGAGATGAAAAAAAAAAAATCACAAATCATGTCACTGATTAAAGGAGACTTCAACCATGGCAGAAATGCAGATATCCAATTTACACTTTTTGGGTGTTGTCTTTCCCTCGAGAGTGAAATAAATCTTAATAGATTTACAAATTAGAATCAATAATGAAATTGTGTTTCATGTCATTTAAAAAAAAAAAAAAAAAAAAGACAATTCATGAACAAAGAACAAGAAAGTACTTATGCAAATTGAAAAGAATATGAATCCAATTCCAATTACCAATAAGTGATGTCTCTGCACAACACAGAAATCAAAACTTTCTCAGCAGCATCACATGTTTGGTTTAAGGATCATTTGCAGCACATCAGTTACCAGCACCGCTAGAAAGAAACGCAGAGTTATGGCCACTCTAGTTTCAATGAAAACGGTTAGTCAAAAAAATAAAAATAAATAAATAAAAGTAAAAAAATAATAAATGGACAGTTCAGCATAATTAATATCCTTAAAACAAATACCAAACAGCCAGATTGCTAACACAAATGTTGCTTTGTCTATCCACTTTCATTCCATTGAAACACGTTCTAGCTGTTTGGTGACTAAGAAATGTGAAATTCACATGAAAAACCAAAAAGTAAATAAAATTTTTGTGAGATTTGAATTTATGATTTTATAATGGATGTATATTTTTCTTGAACCTCATGCTTTAAATGTGTAGGTATGCGTATTAGAAATTTTGTAACATAGACTTTTGTTTGAGGCATTAATTGTCCTTCTATAAGAGATTTTTGCCCAAGACCTAAAGAGAATGTTTCATTCAGAGGGTTCATCGTTCTATTATGGTCTATGTCATCATCACACAAGCTTATGATTATCATGTTTTCTTATTTTGGAAGAAACATAAGAGTCTTTCATTTTGACTTGGGACCCAATACAACATTTTTCTAACTTTTAATCTCATATTTAATTAGAGAAGATTCCTCAATGTTATATTTTTTTCCCCTGCAATTTCATAAATATAGTTAAATAATTTTATTTTTTAAAAATATGTTAACAAATATTTCAAATTATTGATTAAAGAATTAAAATACACTATTAATTACAAATAAAAAATATTGATTTTATTATAATATAAAATTTTAATATTTTTAAATATATAGTTTTCTGTTAAAATAATTATAATGAAAAAAAAACCATAATAGTTATTTCTTTAATTTGTCCTCAGAAAAATATATTTCAAAATATGAACACTGATTTCATGTTTTTTTCTTTCTATAAAGGATTTCGGTTTATTAGTGATATTTAAAACAAATATCATAATAATATTAATTAAAGGAAATTTATTACGTCTCATTAAGTATATTTTAAAAAAATTAAAAAGTAAGTATTGACGTTAGAATACGCAAAAATGTCTAATCATAATTTAAACTATTTAAGATTATCTTTTAGGATATTAGTTTCTCTCATTAGCAAGAATTATGATCAGTACCTGTAAGTTTTATGAACATATCAAACATATTAATACATTTTAATTCTTCTTAGTTAATATTAATTCATCTTTTAATGTTGTCTTTATCGTCGTTTTAATTTTCTTTATTGGTAAAAAAAAATATTTTTTGTCTCTTTTTGATGCACTCAATATCTAAAAGAATATAATTTCATGCTTCAGTGACCTATTTCTTTGTTGTTTCACTAATGACACTACAAGAAATGTGTGAAATAGTCAAACACTTTAAGAGATTCGAATGTTAACCAAGTTGAGTGACCTTTCAAGACCATTTTAAAAATATTAAAGTTAATTACACTCTCTTTTATTAAAAAAAAATAATACAAATATAACACTCCTCTTTTCTTAAATGTTAAAAATTAAAGTCTCTTCTCTCTACACACATAGAGTAATATATGACATTTTATCTATTTTTTTAAAAAAATTTGTTAACTTCCTTTATTTAAAAAAAGTTATTACCAAAAAAAATCATTTACAATAACATCTCCATATGTAAATGTTATAGTATCTTCCCTTCATGTGTTAAAATAAATATTTTTTATCCTTAAAAAATTTAAACACGTTACATTTTAATTATTTATCTCTTGATTTACATGCTTAATTATTATTTTAAAATTATTATAAATTTTATTAAAATTAACTATATATATCTTCAAAAGAAATTTCATTATTATCTTTACAAAATATTTTTAAATTTATATACCAAAATAAAAATAATATATAATATAATAAAATTGAATACAAATATTAAAATATTATTTAATAGTTAATGTAATATTTTTATAAACATCAAAATAAAATAGTATTTTTATTATATAGTATTAATTATATATTAAAGATAATATATAAATATTAAGGTATTATTTAATTGATATTACTAGTATAATAATTTAATAATATCTAAATAAACTAATATTTTATGACAAATTATTATTTATTATATTTAATTAATGTTATGCTAAAATATGTATTTTAAATATATAATGTTTTAAATAATATATTTATATTAAAAATCTATTATTAAATAGAATATAATTATTACAAACTTTTTAATACTTATATATATATGTTAAATTATATTATATATTGACGTGTGTATATATATATATATATAATTTATTTAATAATTTCTATTTTATTAATATTTTAATAAATTAATTTAAATTTAATTATATAGTTTACAATTTCTTTAATCAAGTGAATGAATGACAATGTACCAAAAATAGTTAAAAATATTTTTTACTTAAAAGAGTATTTTTCATGAATAATTAAATTAAAAGAATTTTTTAAAATATTATAATGATTGGTTGTTAGTGATGTTAGGTTAATATAATAGGAGTGTGATATTATAGTATTTGTACCTTTAAAGGATAAAAGTATAATTTAATTGATATTTTTTAAATAAATGTTAACTAACAAGAAAGGGGTTGAATTGTGATTGTCTTAAAATTTGATTTTCTTTTATCAAATTGATGTTTCTATTGGTTTAAAAGAATTGATTCTACTTCTAAGCAGTTTCTTTATAAAATAGCTTCTTAGAAGTTTGTGTTTCTGATGTTCTTGAAAATACTTTCTACTTGTTTAGAAACTCAATATGATATTTCACAATCATGTATTAATAAATATGAGTAGCTTAAAGTAATTTGAACAAATATGAGAGTAAAGATAAGAGAGATTTCACATTGTGATTTATCTTGGTTCATCCAATCTTGGGTTATATTCGGTCCTCATACACACTATGGGGTTTCTTTACTATAATCAAGAGCAACTACTCTAAATACAACCATCAACACTTATTGGATTTCCTCTACACAAACTAGCCACCTACTATTTGTATAGTCACCCTTAGTCAATTGCTAAGTAACCCTCAACACCTATTAAGTAAACCACCCTCACAACCCACAAATATGAGTTGAACCACAACCAATTGCTTGCAACTTTTTTACCCTTTTCTCTCCCTCTGCACAGCAATCTGGGAATGGGTAATCAAATGTGTTTACATATTTTAAAAAACTTAAGAATTGTGAAAGGATTTTATGTAACTTTACTAGGATATGAGTTTTCATTAAAGAAGTATTCTCACACTTTCTATTGCATGTCAGATTACAAAAATGTGTATGATGAGAGCTCTAAATCATAAAATATAAAACAAGTAATTATAATTTTATCTAGTTTGGATATTGATAACTTTCAATGTTCTTGCTAACATCAAATAGTTTAGTTTCAGATTTTTTTTATAAATAATAATAAAATAATAATTAAAAAAAATTCAAAACAAACTAGCTCATGAAATTAGAGCTAAAATAACTCCTCTAAAAGAAGTTGTTTCTACGGATAGGCCCTCGAGGTTTTTTTTTCAACAAAAATTAAATGCAAATGGAAAAAAAAAAAATAGACCAATTTTACATACCCCTTACCACTTAAATGATCTTTGTCATTAAATGATCTATTGTCATTAATTCTTATGCTGAAAAAATTTGTTGGTGTATGTATGTATAAGTAAAGAATTAGTAGTTTAAATTGATGTGATAATATAATAATATTCTATGCGATTATAGTATTTTTACAAAACAATATATTGTTATCTAATTATAAAGTCTCGTATAAGATAATTTCGTTAAATTTTGTAAAATTTAAATATATTTTTAATCATTAAAATAAGAGTCTTAATTTTAGTTCTTATATTTTTTTAATTTTTATCTCTCAAAAAGATAAATTAATTATTCTTGGTTCATTTTGTTGTGTGATATTGTCATATTATTTTTTAAATATGTGATACTGTTAAAAAAATTGATCTCTAAATTAAATACTATTTATCTATTTTAAAATAAATATTAAAAATAAAAATAATAACTTTAAATATTGGAGGAATGAAAATAAAAAATATTTTGAGAAACAAAAATAACAATTTCAAATTTTAAAGAGATGAAAAATGAAGAAAAAAATTATATAAAAATAATAAAATAACTTCCTCATTCTATAAGTATTACAAATATATTTAAGTCTTGATAAAAAAAATATAATTATTTTTTCATTAAAAATAAAATTTTACAAAAATTAATTTTAATTGATTGATTGGTCTAAAAACTTTTAAATTAATAAATATGTAACAAGATTGGTCTAATGAAGAAAGGGAAAGTACTATGCATAAGATTTTATATTCAAATTTTATTATAATTATTGTAATTTTTACAAATAAAAAAAAATTATACATATATGCAATACGTCACACTTATTAAACTCTTAAATATAACATATAAAAGAAGATAAAAACCATTTAGAATAAAAACATTGTATTAGAACACACAACAAACATAATTTCAACTCTAGTGCCATCACCAAACCAATAATAGTAATGGTTTTGCTCTTGATTTGTTCCAACCAATTTAGACTGTCAACATCTTTAATTGGTAGATATGATATATCAACTTCAATTATTATATAACAAAGCTAAAATTTAAACAAAACTTCCATATAATTTTTTTTAAAAAATAGTAATAACCTAAAATACAATGTTGTAACTCATCAATTTGGTCATTTTGCTTGGTTGTATAGGTTTTGAGCAGCCTAATTAGATTATTTAACAACAAATGATGATTGGCATTTCCTAATGGACTACTTACACATAAGAATTCAGTATTGGGAAGAAAAAGATTGAAAGAAGAGAATACAGCAATCAGAATTCACAACTCTGAAATCCCACAGACCGAAACTTTTGCTTCCTTAGATGCACACTTTCTGACTTTGGCATTTGCACAGGGCTTTCAATCCATTCCAAACCTAACCTGTGTTATTCACAAAAATAATAATAATAATAATAATAATAATAATAATAATAATAATAATAATAATAATAATAATAATAATAATAATAATAATAATAATAATCTATATCAATATATAAATACGATTCTGTGAACATAATTTTTTGATTATTTTATTTTTAATTTTTTAAATAATAAAAAATAATATTTAAAATTTATTATTTTTACAAATTCAATACTCAAATCCAAAATCTTGAAATTTGAAGATAAGACGTTTTAATCATTGATAATTCTTAAACACCTTTAAATAAATATAGAAGTATAAAGTGTTTCGATTCTAATAATAATTTAGTCCTTGTAACATTATAATTTAGAACAAACAAGGCATAGTTTATAAATGAAGACATTAACATAGAATTAACTTACACAGGGAAGGAAAAAGAACATGTGGTGCTTTCAGAATGAATAGAGTCCACTGATTCAGTAGATAACATTCCACAGTCTTTAATCTCTTCAACCCAGCATGCCCTTCTTATGCTGTCTTGATTTCTACTCAAGCATTTGTTCTTCCTTTTCTCATCCTACATGAAAATGGAAATCACTAACACAGTCACAAACACACACACCAACCACCCAAAAGAAAACAAGTTATAGGGTGATGAAATTGAACCTCTTTCAAAAGGGTAACATAATCTTGATTGTGATGATAAGTATCCCACCGTTTTTCATTTGATCTTTTCTCATGTATGTTTTCATCCCTAACTTGATCTGCATCCCCACCATATTCAAGCTGCTTTTAAATAGAAAAGAAACACCCCCAATTAAATTTAGATCATTAAAGGTGTATTTGGTAAAAAAATCGTGAAAAATAGATTATTTTAATAATTAATTAAATGAATAATTGATCAAAACAATAATCTCTTATGATTGAAATGAAATCTTGATTGGTTAATTTACTGAAAAGCAATTTTAAAATATTTTGTTTCATTTAAATATAATAAAATTAATTTTCATATAATAGATCAGTTTGAATAAGAAAAAATATTGAAAAATAAATATAAATTTCAAATTTTCAACTTCATAAAAACAACTTATATCTTGTTATAAAACAAAAAAACTGTCTTGTACAAATGAAAGTTGTTGTCCCAATTATACAATTTAATTTAAAAATATCTTTCTTTTCTAAAAAAGAGCTAAAAGTAGAAAAATTAATCATTCTCAAACATGTTTTAATTATCAATATTATTCATATTTAGTATGGTATCTTTCAACTACTCACGTATTTTATATTTTTCTATACCAACTTGTATTAGAGATAAAATAGATAATTTATAATTTCACTGAAAATTTTTAAGAAAATTAATGATTGATTTTAATTTTACATTAAAAACTATCTTATCTTAACCTAAATTTTTTAAAAAATAATATGGTAACTAATCAAGCGTGTTAATTTAAAAAAAAAAAAGTTTGGATTCACATCACTTTTTTTTAAAACCCGAATCACTCAAAGTAATTTGATCTTACTTGAATAACAAGACATGCACTAAATTTTATGAGTGTGACAACGATTGCATACCTTTCTATTCAGAGTCTTTGAAATTTTATGATTTTCATCAACACCTCTGTGGGTCTCAGACTTAACACCCTTGTAATCTTTGACAACATCAAATGCTCCATCCTCTCTAAAGCAGAACACTATATAATCATCATAACCTGAGAGTGACCATGTTGGTTCATCAACCAAGTTTTCAATTAGAACTCCATCTTCATCCTTTTCCATTTGATCTTTTTTCTGAATCCTTTTGTTGCATTTTTTGTTTGCCCGTGACAACTTTTTGTTATGCATAGGATTGATGATATTGTCTTTTTTCTTGTCAAATGCCACACTTTTTCTATCTGCAGCCACTTGAGGGGAAGAACCCAATTCATGATCATCTTCATGATGGTGTGCACCTAATGATTAAAAAGTGAAACATTGTCTAACTTTGAAATGAAAACTAATTAATAAACCCTAAAAATTATTCAAAAAATAAACTAGCTAGAAATTGAAATCAACCTAAGTGATTTACCTAAAGGTAACTTGCATGCGGAGAAACATGAAGTGCAGCTCCTAACTCTCCCTCTTACATGCCATGTCATTGTCCATGGTGTGCACATGGTTATAACTTTGTTTATGGTTTTGGTTCTTCAGAAGAGGATAACGTGATAGAGAAAGGTTATGTATGAGAACCAGATCGTAAGAGAAAATTTAGCATTTGAATATTGAAATGAGTATTTAAGGTCAATGGAATTACAGTGTTAAATGATTACTGAGTACAAATTGATTTTATTAAAAAAGTAACAAAATTTTGAAGATTTAATTGGACAATTGTCCCTAATTATTCTCTGAATTTCGTTTAAAACTTAAGTTCCCTATTTTTTTTAATAGGTACACGATAGCTTATTTTCTCAATTGGGAAGAGAGATTAACATGAATCGGCTCCAACTTGTGTGTTCGCGGTGATTTAAATTAATTATATTTTTAAGAAAAATTTGATAAATTATAATAAAGTATTATTTTAAAATATATTTACAAAGTTAAAATTATAAATAAGATATACATTGTTAATTTATATAAAATAAAGTAATTTATATATTATTAATGTAATTGTTATGTTATTAATTAATCAAAAAATATATTAAACATAATTTTTAAATAATTATATATAATTTATGATTGAATAATAATTTATATTTTATAGTGTATTATAATTAAATGCTAGGATATGAAAGTCCACTTGATAGTTCCAAATTAGATTTTTGTACATTAAAATAATGTTTAGTCAACGAAAGTTACATTCTATAAACATCGGTTTGAGACATAGTGTGGATCATGTCTATAGATAAAAAAAAATTAAAAAAAAGAAGCTAAATGGTAAAACATATTTCACATGTTAACAAAAGCAACTCTTATATATTAAACAAGAATATTTTTCTTGCATAGGAATGTTCTTAGGAGTGTTTGGTACGAAAATTATTTTTACATTCTTATGAATCTTAAAGAAAAAATCTTAATTTTCTATATTTGATAGTTATTTTGGATTCTCAGTAATATAATTTCTCGAGAATTATTTTTATCTTACTTTTTCCACAAAAATATTTTTATAAAGGAGGTAAGAATCCAACTTTCCTGAAAAAGTTTTATTTATACAAAAAGATCATAGTATCTTTTTTAAAATAAAAAATGTATTTCTCTCCTTTTATTTCTAATTCATCTCTTTCTCTCTCTCTTATTCCCCTTCTATTTTTCTCTCTCCCTTTTTCTATTTCTGCCTCTTTGTCTCTCTCACTCTCACTCTTCCTCCCTTCCAATATCCCCCCCTCTCTCTCTCTTT